GGGAACCGCGGGGCGGGGACTGGGGGAACCGCCCGGGGCGATTTACACTGCCCGGCCCTTTAAGCTAAGAGAGTAAGAACCCTTCTAGGGAGAGCCTATGTATGGAAAAAACCTGCTTTCCTCCAGGGTGCCGAGGGTTTCTTGGGTTTCGATGGCTTTGCGATGGAATGCGTGAAGCTCCCACGCCGAAAATCAATGGACTTCCTGGGGTCTCAAGGTTGGGTTTCTCGTGGAGGGTTTCTTGTGGTCGGGCTCCTACTTTATGCACTTGTGCTCAGGGAGACATCTCGCCGCGTCGTTTGTTTCGACGCACGGCCTTGCATTTTGGGGAGGGCGCCGCGGTCACCAGGGCAAACTCCACCTCGGAGGACGAGGGTTTGCCGCGGTGCCAGCGTCGTCTCTTTTGGCGCCGAGCGCAGGGCTTTCCGTGGGTTTGCCGTGGTGTCGGCGTCGTGCACTTGGGCGCGTCGTCGGGGACAAGCGGCGCGGCCACACATATATCAGGTCGTGAGGATGGGGCTTGGAGAAGTGATCAGATCGTCCGTATCATCGCGTATGGTGAGTTCGTTTCTTACACGGTCGTGCCCAGTATCTTCCCAACCCTTTCTCGGCACGCACAAATTGGGTACGGAAAGAAAGAATACAATGCCCAGAAGTAGTTCTTGTTCATGTTGAGCAGGACTCGCGGTCTGCGCCGTTGCGACCTGTGTCCATCTGAGAGAAGGCCGCCTGCCCAACAGCGGCCGCTGCAAGTTTGGGACAACATCGCTGTCGGGCATTGTGCCCAGTTTTTCCTAATTGCGAATCGGTCGTTGATAAAAGGAACTTGGGATTTCCAGATTTGAACATACTCTAAGCGTCTTCCTACTTCAGTGATCGAGTGGCTTCACCTTTTCCGTCCTCTTCAGGGGGCGGGCGGACACCAGATATGTTGTCCACGCCTTCCTACTTCATATTTCTGCCTGCTTCTTCCAACCGATGGGGGCCGAATTGGGCGTCCAACCCCTTCCTCCCAGCACGATGGCTGGCTTTCTCCTCTGCGGGCGGGGGGCGGCTGCTGGAAAGTGATGAGTTCCCGACCGCGCCCAGACCTCCGACGTGGTGCTCTCGTCGCAGCGCGGGCCCTTTCAGGGGGCTCTCGCGGACCCCCTGCTTTTCAGAGGAGGAGGGGGAGGAGGAGGAGGAGGAGGAGGAGGAGGAGGAGGAGGAGGAGGAGGAGGAGGAGGAAGGGGAGGAGGAGGGGGCCCTCGGGCCCGAGAGCGGCCGCGGGGTCCCGAGGTTGTGACAATCGAAGAAGAAGCATATGCACAACCACAACCCATGAAAGTTCCGCGAGGAGTTCTTGGACCTGCACCGGGGCCCCAGATCCAAAGAGTCCGCGCAGACCTCCAGCAGTTTATGTTCGTGCCGTTTTCCCCCCTTCTAGACACAGCACGCTCGTCGTGCCTCCTGCCCTGGACGCCAGAAGTCTGGGGAATCTCTTGAAGTCAGTAGCGTTTCACCTATCCCATTCCCAACGGGCCGTGGCATGTCAGCCCCACCGCCCCACCACCCCAGCTGGGGATAGGCCCCTCGAAATCTGAAGTGAACAGCCCACTATCCCCATCTAGAAGGGTTAAAGTGGCCAGTGGGGCCTAGGCCACGCCGTTGGGGGTAGGAATCAGTGAAACGATGTTCAAAATCTGGGTTTGGTCGCCCCGGCCGTCGACCACGGTTGCTGCCTGCCGCCGTGGTGGTGCCTCGGCGAGGCGAACTTCGAGGCTCGAAGAAGAAACAGTTGCATACGGTGGGCGCGTTGGTGAAGGAATGTGCCCAGGAGCTTTCAGACCCTGGAGGATTCCCTATCCGACGAGGGCGGCGGTGACATCCATGGCCACGCCTCGATTAGAGCTCCTCCAGCTTCCAGAACCTGGATTTTCATCCAGGGGTTCCTTATTCAATGCCCTCACCGTAGCCAAACTTTTGACGGTCCGCAGATCCAAGAAATCCGCGCGGACCGTCACAAGTTGATGTTTATGTTACTGTTTGTTCCTCCAGAGGCGTGGCAAGACTGGTCGCAGCTATCGCAGCCGCCCAGCGACCACGCGCGCCAGATTGCCCGAAATGCAACGGAGCGGCTCTCTTTCCAGCCTGAAATATACCCCTGTTCTCATGATTGGCATCACCGTACCTCTGTGTCGACCTTGAGGATCCCCTCCGTTTCTGAGGACGCATCCCTTAAATTGTCATTGGTCTTTGATGCAGTGAAAGCCCATGCCAATAAACACCCTGCTTGCCTCCAGGGTGCCCTGGGTTACTTGAGTTTCGATGGTTCCGCTGTGGAGAGCGTGACACTCCCACACCAAAAATCGGTGGACGTCCTGGGGTCTCAGGGTCGGGTTTCTTGTGGAAGTTTTCTTGTGTTCGGGCCCCTATTGCAAGCTCGAGACCGGCTGCTCCGGCGCACGCGAGGGGGGGAGGCGAGGAGCAGGAGGAGGAGGAGGAGGAGTCAGGAGAGGGGAGGAGGAGGAGGAGGAGGAGGAGGAGGAGGAGGAGGAGGAGCAGGAGGAGGAGCAGCAGGAGGAGGAAGGGGGGGCGGGGCGAGGTGGGGGGCCCTCCGACGAGGCCCCTCCCACGTATAGGCACAGAGGCCCTCCCGGCCTCCGAGGGAGGTCCCCTATGGAAGCCCTGCAGGTGAGCGCTGGGCCCTCCCGAGAGGGCCCCGCGCCCAGACAGGCGCGCGTCGCGAAAAAGATCAGGACTCGAATAAGAAAAAACGCCATGAACACAAACTTTTGGCGCTCCGCGCGGATCTCTTGGATCGGCGCCTGGACCCCTGCTGGCGCCTCCGGCGCCGCCCCTGGCGCGCTCCGCGTGCCAGGGAAGGTGGTCCAGCGCAGATCCAAGACATCCGCGCGGAGCGCCAAAAGTGTATGTTTATGGCGTTTTTGTTTCCTCTTCTGAGGACGGAGGCTTTTTTCGTAGATCTCGGCCTCTGGGGGGCCCTTCGGGCTGGCAAGACGACTCGGGGGAGAGAGGTGGCCCCGGGGAAAGGGTCGGGACTTTGGGGGACCCCGTAAGGTGGGGGCGTTGGCTCAGGAATGTGCCCCTGAGCCTGCAGACCCGGGACCATTCCTGATCGGATGCGGGCGGCGGTGATATCCATGGCCATTCCACGATTGGAGCTACCCCGGCGTTCTGACCCGGGATTCATTATCCAAGTGTTCCGTATTCAACGCCTTCACTGTATCAAGAGGAAAAGAAACACACAGACACAATTAATCGTCGATTTCCCAGAAAATATGGGAAAATATGGGAAGTGGGGGGGAAGACAGAAACCCAGAAAATATGGGAAAATATAGGGAATAGTTTTATTTGTGTGTATTTATTTGTGTGTCCTGGGGCCCTTTCACTTATTCAATGCCCTCACTGCAGCCTTGGCCGGTCCGCGCGGATCTCTCGGATCTGCGCCGGACCATCCTCCCCGGCGCGCGGAGCACGCCAGGGGCGGCGCCGGAGGCGCCGCCCAGGGGGGGTACACAGCGCAGATCCGAGAAGTCCGCGCGGGCCAAGTGGAGTTCCTCTGGCTTCCAGACCGTGGATTCCTTACAGCGGGGGCCCATGCCAGGAAGCACCCTGCTTGCCTCCAGGGTGCCCTGGGTTTCTTGGGTTTCCATGGTTTGGCTGTGGAAGGCGTGACACTCCCACGCCAGGAATCAATGGACGTCCTGGGATCTCAGGGTCGGGTTTCTTGTGGAAGTTTTCTTGTGGTCGGGCCCCTACTGTATCCAAGGGTTCTTTCTCCAGCGCCCTCGCCGTACTGAAAAGAAGCACGGCGTCGCATGCCTTGGTTCCCGGAATGCCGCCGACCCTCGGCCTGGCTTTTTTCGCTTCTGCGGCCAGCAGCGGGTGGAGTCCGCCTCCAGGCCTCCGCATGGGAGTATTCCGCCCCGAAGGTCCAACTGCGCACACATGTCTGCCTGGCATGCAGGTTTGGTCGCTCCACGCCCCCACGAGCGGTACACTTACGTCAGGCGTGTCCGTCTACAGGAGGAGTATTCAAAAGTAGTCCGAAAATCGTATGGGGACGAGTTGTTCGATTATTGTTTGACCATGTTTGAGTATTCATGCATTTTCATTTTTTCTTCCAAAATCCACCTGTGGGGGAACATGCCCGACCTAACCCGAATGTCCAACTGTGCACCCATGCCTGTCTGGCATGCAGGTTTGGTCGCTCCCCGCCCCCGCGAGCGGTACTCCCTCGGTGTGGGCCCACGTCGTTGCGACATCCCGCCGACGTGACTCATGCCCTCGGTCTTGTGTGTTGCTAGAAGTGACCCTGGGCCAAGGTGCCTCTAGGATTTCCAAGGAGGCCCCCAGGGCCTCCAGAGCACCCCTCACGAGGCCAAGAGGGCCCCAGGGGCTCCAACATTGAGCGGAAAAGCCGGGGGTACCTTGGGCCAGGGACACTTTCAGCACCCCCCGACCTTCTTCGCTACCTACCAAGCCATCGAAGGAGAAACAGCTACGGTGCGGGCGTTGGTTAAGGAATATGCCCAGGAGGCCTCAGATCCTGAAGAATGTCTTGTCTGATGAGGGCGGCGGTGATATCCATGGCCACTCCACGATCGGATTTCCACCGGGCTCCCAGAACATGGGTTTCTTATCCAAGTGTTCCTTATCCAATGCCCTCACCGTACGTGAACGGAAACTGTCGGCGTTCCGCGCGGATTTCTTGGATCGGCGTCGGGTCCACCCGGCGGCCTCTCAGGCGTCGCCCTCCGCGCGCTCCGCTCGCCAGGGAGGGGGGTCCCGCGCTGATCCGAGAAACACGCGCGGGACCTCCGAAAGCTTACATGGCGATGCTGTGTTTTATTCCTCTGCGCCACCCCAACCAGTACCGAAGGCAACAAGTTCACCTCCATCAACGCATGGAACCCGTGATCCTCCCAACACAAAATTTGGGATTTCGGGTTGGGTTGTGGTGGTCTGGTACGTAGTCATTTCTGCTCGCCGCCAAGGCTCGACGGGACCTGCCACACCCTGTCGAACGTCGGGCTGGAAGCGCCGGCCATTGTCACCCTGAGGCCCGGCGCAGGCAAAGCCGATTTGTCTGGCTGATGCTCTGGGGGGGGTGCTGTGCTCAGGGGAGGCTGCAGCACCGCTCAACGGTGTGCTGTCAACCAAACCTGCAGGGTGGGCCATTTCCATTCTCCTGGGCACTTTGGATTTGGCTTCGGCTTCTGCTGTGGCTGCACCGCGAAGCGCTTTCGGGCCAGCTCGCTCAAGTCGGTTTTCCGCTTGCGCGGGTGCTGGCCCCAACAACGGGACGACTTGCTCGAATAAGACGGTGAGATTTGTTCCTAGGGGGGCCCTGCCGCGGCCCCTGGCGGGTCTTCGGCCTTCCTGCCAGGGTGGCAAAAAACAGTTCGGGCTCCTCCGGAGCGTCGACGAGATGCCACTGGCGCACCCTCGCCCCGCGGCTTATGATGTTCCAGCCTACTGTAGCCTCGACCACCAGAAAGATTTCGAGCACCAAGACAATACCGAAACTGTCGGGTGTTCGAGTGTCGGGCCCTGGGAGGCGATGCTCGTTCGATGCCATTTCGACACTTTTCTGGGTGCCCGAAATCATCGCTGGGATGTGGTCCCTGAGTACGATGGGAACAGCATAACTCGAGGCCCCCCCCCTCGCCAAGGCTGTGCACCCTCTTTCTGCGGGTCGGGGTCTTCGACCTCGGGCTGCCCCTGGGCAGGCTTGCGGCGCTGATGGTGCGCGGGGACGGGCCCGGCATCGGCGAGCTCTCCTGGCTGGAGGCACAGGTGCTGCAGGTCGCAAGGGCCGCGGGGTCCAGCGTCCGGGAGGAGACGGACGACAGGTAATCGGTATCGTTGAACCCATCCCCATCCCCATCCCCTTCGAGACCCCCACCAGATTCCCCCCAAAGTGGGGGATACACACCTCTCGAAACCCGAAGGGAACGACGCGATTATCCCCCATCTGGGGCTATGAGTCGGCCAGTGGGGCCCGGGCCACGCCGCTGGGGATGGTGATCGGTTAAACTCAGGGCGTGAATTACCTACCCCGCTTTCGCTTCCAGGCAAAACCAAGTCATACCACGCGCCTCCTCGTCAAGCGGCCTGACCAGTACAGGCCGTAGTTTGGCATCGCTTGGTATCTCTTGGAAGCGAGGGTGGTCAAAAGCGAGGTAGGTTTGTTTTCCCCCTATAAACGGTGCTCAGGTACGGCGACAAGGAGCTCGTCGTCGAGGGCGAGGACGAGGGCCTGGACGTGGGTGCGTTCCTGGACGGCCTGGAGAGCGTGTTCAGACGGGAGCTGCCCGTCGCGGCTGCGCTGCATGGGGCCACCAGATATTAGCACGCCCCCCCCCCACACACCTCCCCCTCGCAGGCCTCGCAGTCCATGGTCTCTCCTCCTCCTCCTCCTCCTCCTCCTCCTCCTCCTCCTCCTCCTCCGTCTCCCCTTCCTCGACCTCCCGCTCCAGAGGGAAAAACAGACGGCAGGAACATAAACTTTCGGAGGTCGGCGCGGAGTTCTTCGGCTCTGCGCTGGGGCCCCCTGGCAACGTATGCGGCGCCGCCCCTGGCGCGCTCCATGCGCCAGAGAGGCTAGGTTGGCTCATCAGAGGATGGAATCCCTACCTCGCTTTCGCATCCAGGCAACGTCAGGGCATACCACGCGCCTCCTCGTCTGGCAGCCGGACGCTTGCGAGCCACCCCACGGGCGGCTTGGTATCGTTTTTGGCTTCCGCTCGGAGGCGAGGGTGGCCAAAGCGAGGCAGGGCGCAGATCCGAGGTGTCCGCGCGGAGCTCCGGGGGCTCGTGCTGATGCTGCTTGTCGGGAGAAGGTCTGGGGGTCCCAGGCCCAGGCTCTGCGGGGCCGTGCCTGGCCTGGCCTGGCCCCCCCCCCCGCCCTGGAGCCTCGGGGGGGCGAGCTGCGCGTGGCCGTGGCACAGGTCCGAGAACGCTCCGCAGAGCTTCGGCAGTTTGCGCTCGTGCCGTCGTTCCGTCCCCCGTGCTCCCCCGCTCCCCGCCCGCCGCCGGCCCCCCGCCCTCCCGCCTGGGCGCGTCACAGCTGGAGAGCACTGCGGGCGTGGGAAAGAAGCCGCCCTCGTCGTCGTCGTCGTCGTCGTCGTCGTCGTCGTCGTCGTCGTCGTCGTCGTCGTCGTGGTCGTCGTCGTCGTCTTCTCGCCGTCGTCGTCGTCGTCGTCGTCGTCGTCGTCGTCGTCGTCGTCGTCGTCGTCGTCGTCGTCGTGGTGGTCATCGTCGTCGACTTCTCGTCGTCGTCCTTCGGAGCTGCATGGACGAAGGGGCGCAGGGCGTGCCGGGCGGGAGGTGCCGCGCGCGACGACCGCGCCCCCCGCCGAGCGCGCGAGCCGAGAGAGTCGTGTCATGCACTGCTTCAGAATCCTTATTCGGTGGAGGGCACCAGGCTGGGTGGCAGAGGGGACCAGTGGGGAAGTTGCCTCGTGCCTCAGATTGGGGTCTATGCTGCGAAAGTGGTGTGTGCGGGAGAGCGGTTGCGGAGTACTGTCGGTCCAGCTTGTCGGAACCGTGGTGGTTGTAGCAGACGCGGTCGATGCGGGAGAGGGCGCGCCCAGACTCGCAGGTATTAAGTGTTTAGGATAGCTCGTCGAAGCCGTGCCGGCACGTAAGGTGCTTGTGAGAGAAATTGAATGCGACAGTTGAACTCCGAGGTAAGAATCCTGTCCAGGTACTGTCGTTCCAGATGATGGCGACCACCAGGCGCGACATCGTCAGCCAGAAATCGAAGCTCTAAGCTTGGAGGAAGTCGCCAGCATTTCAGAACGGCGAAGATAGGTTTGAAGAAAATAGTGGATGGCTTGAAAGTGTTGATTTCTGATGGGGAACCTTCGCTCAGCACTTTATCTCAGAGATATCCAAGCGGGCAAAAACCAGACCCCCAGCTTCGTTGCGTGTCTTATACGCTGGTGCACCCTGTTGTGCCCAATACTGGGAGTAGCGTGTCGCATGCGTGCTTGCATTAGGTCGGGCCTGTCCCCCTACACGGGGATTGTGGTCAAAAAACAGAAAATGCTCAAACATATTCCCAAATAGTAAGGGAATATGTTTGAATATTCCCCCTGTAGAGGGACAGGTCCGACTGAATGCTTGCAGGATCGCAATCGCTTCGGCTCCTCATCCGCCCACCTGGGTGGCCACAGACGCGATAGCTCTTTGACGAGCTCGAGGCAGACAAGACGAGCTGTGCCCCTCCACGAACACGTGAAGCTCCTGCTGGCCCAAGCCGCCTTGCCCCTCACGGGCCACGCTCGCAAAGGGGATCCCACATATCCGCCACGGGAGACAGACTCGCGTCACGCCACAAGGCCGTCGCAAAGCATGTCAGACACGCGCAGAGAGGGGTGGGAGGAGGTGGGAGGGCTTCTTAGAAGCACCCCTGCTTCTTAGAAGGCGCGGACCTTATCTATAGATGTAAGGCCGGCCCCTTCTAAGAAGCAGCCTCCTTCTAAGAAGCCCTCCCCCCCCCTCCACCCCCTTGTGCGCACCGCCAAACATGACGGCACTTCCCAGCAGCACGCGCCCACACCGTTCGTCCCCGAGGCTTTGCGGCGCCGGCAGGGTTGGCTGCAACAGGTCCCCTCGCGCCCGAACGGCGCCAATGGCTCGGCGCACGAACGCTGCCAGCAGCAGGGTGGGGCCTTGTACTGCGACGTGACGGCCCGGCTGGTGCGGCTGGGCGGTACTGCATCGCAGGGCATGGCCTTAATTCCCGTCGCCGTGCGGCTTGTAGAAGTTATGTCGCTTAGCTAGATGGGTGGTATTTCTGCCACGTTGGCGCACAAACGATCTGGGGCACCCGGCTCCTGGGGTAAATTCCCGCGCCTCGAAGGCGAGTTCACTACGCTGGTCACCTCGTCGTAGAAGCCCCCCGCTCGGGGGCATGAGGTGCCTGTCCCAATCGTCTGCCTCTCTGTGGTCCGTGGCGCCTGTTCAATGTCCAGGGCGTTTGCACCACCCGTTTTCCGCTGCTGTCACGAGGGTCCAGTCGCCCATCAGGAGGTGAGTGTTGAGCCCGCGTCGGCCACCTGGTTAGCCAGATCCTGGATAAGTTTTCGTATCGGGTTGAAACGTGGTTCTGTTGAAATGAGTGATTGGGCGTGCATGGTATCCTGTGGCATGGATGGGGGCTCGATGCCGGTTGAGCTGGGATGGCTTGATCTACGTGGAGGTAGAAGCGTATGTAATCTGCGCGGTCCCAGGAGGGTCGACGACCCCCTTTTTTATTGTTATTATTTTTGTTGTATATGTATGGAATTAAAAGAATGCTAGACAAGATGAGCTAGTGTTCACTAATGACTTGGCAGTCAACCCCAGTGCTCGCACAATCGTCCCACTCTCCCACCTGCAATTTGCTTTTCACAGCCCATTCGACCGCGATTGCGGTGACTCCTTGGCGCTTGTTGGCGTATCCTTGCGGCTGCGCTAAAGCGCACACTCGCGCGCGGAGCGGCCAGCTGGTTTGGCACAGCCGACGCGGGCGTGATGGCGCTCACCGATTTCAGTTCCCCTGCGCGTCTCAAAGGTCGCGCTGGCGCGCGGCCATCTCGGTGCGGGTCGGAGACTCAGGCGGGCGTGGTATCATGATGACGCCGACAACGTTGGCAACGATGATGACAGTAGCGATGGTGGTAGCGATACTGGCGGTGACGACGGCAATGTCAGTGACGGCGCCGATGCTGGAGATGACGTTGGTGATGATGACATCCATTTGGCGATGATGCAGGAGCCTGAGTGATGTTGGTGGCAATGCGGTGGTTGTCGATGGCGATGGCATGATACGGCGGCGCTGGTGAGGGTGATGGCGACGAGGTGCTCGCGCTGAAATTCAAGAACCCTGGCCGTCTTTCTGTTGACAAAAACGGTTTTCGAATGTGCTATTAAACAGCCTTGCCCCGACATATTTGAAAAGCGAATGGTGAGGGACAGGGTTCGACGGGCGCGTGGCGACGCGGCCGTGCTCAAGGGAGGAAGGCCCACCCGGACCGGACAACCGGCGTTTACTCAATGGCCCAGGGCGTTTACTGAACAGCCCTGCCCTGGTTGATTCTTTTTTTGGGTGCGTGTAATAAACTGCTTCGCGTGTCGGGGTGGTTATTATCGGGGTGGATGTTCTGCCGTCTGCGTGCGGCCAGCACTGTTTTCCCCTGGCGCGGGCGCGCGCGCCTGGCGCCTGCTAGATGGATCGACGCGGAGGCGCCGCACAGTGAGGCGAGAATGCGGTAGCTGGTCGGGACTGCTAACCTCATACGATTCTCATGATGGGCGTGTTTTCCACCTCCACCACAAGTTGGAGGGGGAAAGGAGGTGGAGGATGAGGAGGAGGACGAAGAGGAGGAGGAGGAGGAGGAGGAGGAGGAGGACTACTTATGGTGGTGGCGGTGGACAACAAGTTCACCATCTCATATGGTTTCAGCAGCCGCGCGCGGGCAGAATCACAGCAGGATGCGTGATGAACAATTCAAGGTGCTTGTATGGTTCAGGGTGGAATCGTTGCAGCACGTGTGTAATGTCGTAGAACTGTTGAACAATTATGACAATGATGACTCCCCCTTCCCCCCCGTAGCCCGTCTGCCATTAATTCGCAGCCGAAAAGCTATGTTCTAAATGTTCCCCCCGGAAAATATTGCGCTGGCCTCACGGCCTGTGCCGCCGACCCTGGAGGCATCGGCTCTCGAGGGAAACGGGGGGGAGAGGGCGGGGAGGAGGAGGAGACGGAGGAGTGAAGGAGGAGGAACAGGTGGGAGGAGGAGCAAGAGGAGCATGAAGATGCGGAGGAGAAATGGAAAAGTTAGAGAAGGGGGAGCAGGAGTTAATGGATGGAGCAGGCAGGGACGACGAACACGTGGGGGAGGACCAGTGAAAGCTGTCAGAGAGGGGTGAAGAAACATGCACGGATGATGCGGGAGGAGGTTTTCGGGAGCAGCTCTCGTTTCAGGGGACTACAACACTGGGGACAGACAGTTCATGACATTTGTGAGTGCCTGGGGTCGCAGGAGGTGCGACGGCGTCGTCGTCGTCGTTGTCGTCGTCGTCCGTCGTTGCCGTCGTCGTCGTCGTTGTCGCACTCGTCGTCGTCGTCCTAGGCGTCGTCGTCGGCACGAGCATCCCAAGGACAGAATTTGACACGAGAGTGGCGTGTTGAATCCTGTCCTCGTGTCGGCGTCGTTGTCCGTCGCCGCCGTCGCACCCGTCGTCGTCGTCGTCGTTGTTGTCGTTGGCACAAGGACCCCAAGGACAGGATTTCAAACGAGAGTGGCGTGTTACATTCTGTCCTCGTGTCGTCGTTGTCGTCGTCCGTCGTTGCCGTCGTCGTCGTCGTCGTCGCACCCGTCGTCGTCGTCCTTGGCCTTGGCGTCGGCACAAGGACCCCAAGGACAGAATTTAACACGAGAGTGGTGTCAAATCCTGTCCTCGTGTCGTCGTCCGTCGTCGTCGTCGACGTCGACGTCGCACTCTTCGTCGTCGCCCTTGCCGTTATCGTCGTCGTCGTCGTCGTCGGCACAAGGACCCCAAGGGCAGAATTTAACACCAGAGTGGCGTGTTAAAGTCTGTCATCGTATCGTCGTCGGCGTCGGCGTCGACGTCGACGTCGTCGACGTCGCACCCGTCGTCGTTGTCGTCGTCCTTGTCGTTGCCGTCGGCACCGGGGCCTCCAGGACAGAATTTTACACGAGAGTGGCATGTCAAATTCTGTCCTCGTGTTGTCGTCGTCGTCCGCGTCGTCGGCACAAGGACCCCGAGGACAGAATATAACACGAGAGTGGCGTGTTAAATTCTGTCCTCCTGTCGTCGTCGTCGTCGTCGTCGTCGTCGTCGTCGTCGTCGTCGTCCGTCGTCCTCGTCGTCGTCGTCGTCGCACCCGTCGTCGCGACGACGACGGCACAAGGACCCCTCGGCGTCCTCGTTGTCGTCGGCACAAGGACCCGAAGGACAGAATTTAACACGAGTGTGGCGTGTTAATTTCGTTTCGTCGTCCGGGGTCGTCGTCGTCGTCCTAGGCGTCGTCGTCAGCGTCGTCGTCGACGTCGCACGCTTCGTCGTCGCCCTCGTCGTCATCGTTGTCGTCGTCGTCGGCACAAAGACCAGAAGTACAGAATTTAACACGAGAGTGGCGTGTTCAATTCTGTCCTCGAGTCGTCGTTGTCGTCGTCGTCGTCGTCGACGTCGACGTCGTGGACGTCGCACTCGTCGTCGTCGTCGTCGTCGTCCTTGTCGTCGCGTCGGCACTAGGGCCCCAAGGACAGAACTTAACACGAGAGTGGCGTTTTAAATTCTGTCCTCGTGTCGGCGTCGTCGTCGTCGTCGACGTCGCACGCGTCGTCGTCGTCGTCCTCGTCGTCGTCGTCGTCGGCACAAAGACCCGAAGGACAGAATTTAACACGAAAGTGGCGTGTAAATTTGAGATGCCTCTTGGAACGTCTGATGGGCATCTCAGGTGCCTCTGTCCCTCGCTACCCCCCTCGCTACCCCGCCTCGCTACCCCCTCCCGGGACCCCCCCTGCCCTCGCGTGGGGAAGGGAAGAAAGGGAAGGGGCTTGCCTTTGATTCAGAGGCGACATTGCGAATCCAGGAGGGCGATGTATCTGACCGAGAAGCCCCAGGAGGGCGGCGTATCTGACCAGGACCCCCCTCGCTAACCCCCCTCGCTGCCCCCCCTCGCTACCCTTCGGGACCCCCCCCCCCGCGCGGGGAAGGAAAGAAAGGGAAGGGTGTTCCCTCTGACCGAGGATCCCCAGGAGGGCGGCGTATCTGACCCAGGACGCCCCTCGCTACTCCCCCCCGGGACCCCCCCCCCCCGCGCGGGGAAGGGAAGAAAGGGAAGGGGCTTCCCTTTGAGTCAGAGACGACGAGGAAAAGGAACGGGACCACCCCCTTCCTCGCGCGGGGAAGGGAAGAAAGGGAAGGGGCTTCCCTTTGATTCAGAGACGACGAGGAAAAAGAAAGGGCAAACAACGAGGACGCTGCAGGGAAACGGGACAAAGGAACGACGAGGAAGAAGCAGCAAACAACAAAGCCTCTTCCACACGCCGACAGGGTCGGCGGATTTCACGGGGGCCGAACGGTGCGATTGATAATTGCGCACACGTATGTTTGTATATCTGTATGTGCATACTTTTGCAAATCCACACAGAAAGCGTTTATACATTTCGGAATCTGGGAGCCAGCACAAGGTCACCCGCGTTCTTCTGTTGCGCTCTTGGGCGCTCTTGGGGCCCCCGCGTGACCATCTTGAGCCTTTCTTGAGGCATTATTTGGCCATCTTGGGGCCATCTTGAGGCTTCGGGAGCCCATCGGAAGCGAACGCGGGATAATGCCTTTTAAGTTATGGTGGAATGTGTGGCTTCTTGGGGGCCGCCTTGGGTGTCTCCGCGGCCACTTTGACCCGTCTTGGGGCCATCATGGGGCCTTCGGAGGCCATCTTGAGCCAGCTTGGGCCATCTTGCGCCGTCTTGGAGGCCATCTTTAAGCACCCGTGGCCATCTCGGGGCCCCATTTTTTCTGGGGCCCCCTCGGCACGAGAAGGGGTGCGCAAGGAATGGTCCTCGAGTGCGGCTTCTGTCCACGCCAGTGTCACAGTGCAAGTCTGGCGCGGCGTTTTCTTGGCATCCGTGAGGGAGGGGGTGCATGGAGTGGTCCCTGAGCGCGGTCTCGATCCATTCCAGGTCGCAGGGCGTGTCAGGTGTAGCACGCTCGCGACCCACACAGGGTGCGCAGAGGGTGGTCTCTGAGCGCAGTCTCTATCCATGCCAAGTTCGCAGGGCGTGGCAGGCGTGGCCTGACGCCAAGAGGGGGTGCGCAGGATTCCGCCCCTGCGCTCGGAGCGCCCGGCGGTCCTGTTTGTTCCGCATTTCTCTTGTTTTTAAAAGCGCACTGCAGCGCTGGGGAAAAAACTGATTTTTAACTGTCCCCCCAGATTTTTGTTTTAGCCGCTTTGAGACATTCTGTGTGTGTTGGCGTGATTCCCACATGCGCCCTCGTGCGGAATGTTGTGCCACTTGTTGCAAGCGGCATTGAATGACGAGGAGGAACAATATTCCCCAGGTTTCCATTTAAGTAAGGGCCCGGGGGATATAATGTTTCGCTTGAAAAAGAGAGTTTCTTCGCAGATAGCTCCTAGAGGGGGCTGAGTTGTTTCAAGGAAGAAATCGGCAGGCTGGGGTAGACCAGCTTCCTCTCCACTGCTGCCGGTCAGGCAGTGTCGCAGCTCCTTGCTGGAGATCGCAGCGTGTCCCGCAAGCGCTCTCTTAGTCGTTCCCGCTACGTGGCCACCAGCGTTGGCGCAGCTCTTGCGCAGCGCTTCTTGGGCTCGCGAGCGTCTGCTAGGCAGCTCTTGGGCAAAGCTCTTATGCTCGTGGGTGGCGGGTCCTGGGCAGCGCTCCTTAGGCTCGCGTGCAGCTCCTGGGCAGCACTTCGCGGGTGCCCAGACGATCCGAGGCAGCGCTCCCTAGGCTCGTGGCCACGCTTCCTAGGCTTGTGCGCAGCGCCCAGGCAGCTTCCTGGGTCTGCGCGCGGTTCCCAGACAGCTCTGGATACTCGTTTCGTGCGCGGCCGTCTGCGGGACGCCGCGCCTGGGCGTGTGTGCTGCTACCTGGGTTTGGGTTTGCACAGTAGGGCGCAAGCTGCATGCCGCAAAAGATGTTTTGCATGCGACGCTGCGCAACCTGTATGGCGCAGTATACCTGGTGCCTGCTTTTTGGTACAGCCCGTGGGGGGCACCAACATATTGGTTACAAGCTATATGAGGCAATCTACGTGGCACAAGCTATGAGCTACAGTGGGGACATGCCAAGACACACCCTGCTTGCCTCCAGGGTGCCCTGGTTTTAATTTGATTTCGGTGGTTTCACGGTGGACATCGTGACGTCCCCACACCAAACATTCAAGAGACGCCCTGGGGTCTCAGGGTTGGGTTTCTTGTGGACGGTGTCTTGTGGTCGAGCAGCACATGTGGCGCGATGCGCGTGTGCATCAGGGAATGCCAGCCGCCTCTCAGGCGCTCCCGCGGTGCCCGCGGGTGGGAGCCCGGCGAGGGCCAGCACCACTCCAGCCAGCGCACGGGGGTCACCCACGACGAGGCGCCCCACGGGCGGGAACCGGCCGAGCATCCAGAATCGCCAGCCGGCGCACGGGGCACCCGCTTGGCGCCCACGGGCGGGCACTGGGAGAGCACCCGGGGCTGCCAGCCCCTAGGACCGTCCATCGAGGAAAGAAAAGCTGCATGAGCATAAGCTCTCGACGGTCCGCACGGATTTCTTGGATCTGCGCTGGGGCCCCTTGGCGGCGCCTCCGGCGACGCCCCTTCGCGCGGACCGTCGACAGTTTGTGTTTCTGTTGTTTTTCCTTCTTATTACACCGATGCGAGAAGCCCGAGTGGAGACACAGTTTGAGGAGCACGTTATGGAATGCTTCGGCCCTCCCTTCCCCCCTTCGTCCCTCCCTGGCTCCCCCTTGCCTTTCCTTGTCCCACTTCCTTGCGTGGATACATCGAGCTTTTTCTTCTTCCCAACGCGAGGACTTGGGGCACATCCAGTCCGCATTATTTGGGAAGGACAGACGGGGGCAGCTTCGATAGCAATCTGGGCACACGTGAGCCGCAGCCGCTTTGTTCTGGCCTTCGCTGGGTCCCCGCCATTCCCCGCAGGCTTCGCGCCAGCCCGTTCCGCCCCAGACTTAAGCCGAGCATGTCCCTTTACAGGGGGAATATAGAGAACTAGTTCAAAAGTAGTTTTGGGGCGATGCTTCTTCGACTATGTTTTTTTTGTTGTTGAATCTGTTTTGGCTATGTTCTATCTTTCGCCCAAAAGCCGCCTGTAGGAGGACATGCCCGACCTAACCCCAGACCCGATGTCCCGACGCGCCTCGGCCACATGCGGCGCCGCCGAGGTGTCGGAGTGCCCTCTGCTGGCACCTGTGGGCGGCGTGGGCGGCGGGGGTTCGGCAGGGCCCGCCTTGCGGGGCTCGCAGCGACGGCGCTGGTGCTGACCGCGTCGGCAGCGGCGTGGGCGTCCTCCCCAGGCCCCGTCGCGCTGCCTCCTGGGCGTGCGCTTCCCAAGCCGCCCCCCGCCGGCCAGGTGGCCCCCTCGACGGCCCTCAACCCTCGAACCTCCTCCTCCCTCCATTCCTTTTGTCGGGGGTGGACAGAAACCCCAACAGTGACACGTCGATTAGTGAATTGTCCGTTTTCGGTTCTCGAGAGGGCGCCGTGGCCGTTATTTTCCAGGCCTGCGCCCGCCAGGTTTGGGCCTCAGGTCGTTTGCACTAAACCACGCTTTACTAAAGGGAGGGCTGTCCATCCCCGATTTTCCTTGTAAGCAAATTCTCCTTGTCGCACCCCGAGGCATTTTTTTAGGGCGGTCCGGGCGTTTCGATTGAGACTTCCTCACCACGAATGACCCTGAAGCTTAAAACATAGTATCAGCTTCGCAGATGGAGGACGGGTGTTTTTTTCAAACTGTAGCTCTCGCCTGAAAGCGCCGCGCACATTCGTATTAAACATGGGCGAGAGTCTCCCGGATTGAGGGCGGGTGGTTTTCAACATGTGGCTCTCGCCTTAGCGCCGTGAGCACTCCTTTCACGGATTGAAGCCGGGTGATTTTCATAATGTGGCTCTCGCTTTAGCGCCGCGCACATTCGTTTTATACGATTGCAAGAGTTCCGCGGGTTGCGGTTTCTTTTCAAAATGTGGCTCTCGCTTCAGCGTCGCGCACATTCTTTTAAAACAATTGCAAGATGTTCGCGGATTGAGGGCGGCTCTTTTTCAAAATGTGGCTCTCATCTGAGCGTCGCGCACATTCGCTTTCGAAAATTGCAAGAGTTTCGCGGATTGAGGGCGGTTTGTTTTGACTATGTGGTTCTCGCTCTAGCGCCGCGCACATTCGTTTTCAAACATTTGCAAGAGTTTCACTCGTGCCCATGATCAGCGTGCGAGAAATGGCGCTCTTGAAGGATTGGAGATTCTGAGGGTGCAACAGTTACGTCGAGTCGTGGTGTTGAAGTCCCAGGTTTGGCTTTCTGGTACAATTCAGGATCGTCAAGACGCAACAGTCAGGTTGCTCCGTGGCGTTGGAATCCCGAGAACGATGCTTTGGCATGTGCCAGGATCTTCAAACGGCTCTCTCCCAAGGAGGCAGTTCCACCAGTGGACATGAATCCCCTGTATGGGGCCTATGAAGAGGGAGCTTGGAGGTAGTTATTCCAACATCGTTGATGACTCTTGGGTTTACACTGGTCCTCCTCCTCCTCCTCCTCCTCCTCCTCCTCCTCCTCCTCCTCCTCCTCCTCCTCCTCGTCGAGGGCCGGCCCCCCGCCGACCCGCTGAGCGCGCAGCTTCGCTCCTTCGTGGCGGGGGCGCTGCCGAGCCGCCGGGACCGCGGGGCAAAGGAGGAGCTCCTGGCGGAGCTGCGGGCGGCCGCCGTGGAGGCCTTCGGCCAGGGGGCCCTGGTGCTCCCCTTCGGGTCCTCCGCGAACGGGTGCGGTGGGCAGCAAGTCACCGGAGCCTGGCATGCCCTCTTGATGCAGTTTCCAGCGTCGACCTGCGCCGATTGGCGTCTGGGAGTCGAGGAGACAGAGCCGACTTAGCGTCGGCTAGCGTCGATTGGCGTCGCTTTCGCGTCGATTAGTGTCGATAAGCGTCGATTGAGCGTCGATTGGCGTCGATTCGCAAGAGCAGGCAAGATGGTTTGGGATGCCCCCATGAGTTGCCACCGAAGGTGCGGCGAGGCACACTCCGACCTGGACGCCACGGTCCACGTGCCCGCGGGGGGCTGGAGGTCCAGATCGGCGCTGCGGCGCTTGCAGAAGCGGCTGTTCTGGCACGACATCAGCGTGGTCGAGTGCCGCCTGGGGGCGCCGGTCCCGATCTTGGTGCTGCAGTCGCGGGACGGCCTGGAATGCGACCTGAGCTATCAGAACATGGTGCCTCTGCACAACACGCTGCTGGTTCGGACGTATGCGGAGCTGGCCCCCGAGCTCACCGGGCTGAGTATCGTGGTAAAGCGTTGGGCCAAAAACCACAATATAGCAGGTACCCATGTTGGTTCGATTTCGTCATACGCCTGGACTTTAATGGTGATCTACTACCTCCAAGTCTGCCATGGGCTTCCCTCGCTCCATCAGCTGGCACCTCTCGACCGAGCGCACCGCTTCTGCCACTCGATGGCTCCCGAATTCACGGATCTCGAGACAGCCAGGGCGTTGATGGCTGCAGAATGCGCGGGGCAGTGGTCAAGCACAAGGGGCGAGTGCGGTGGGCTGCTGCGAGGCTTCTTTCGTTTTTACGCGGTGCAGTTTGGATGGGCACACGAAGTGGTCTCTGTGCGCTTAGGGAGGCGCGCCAACATATCATCTGCCACTGTTTCCGGGCCGCTGTTTCACATGAGGGGCCCGATCAGCACTCAGAATTGCTTGCACATCGAAGACCCTATCGAGATCAAGAATCACAACTACGCCCTCTCCGACAGGGTACTCGGTGCCCTTAGGCGAGAGATTAGCCGCGCCAACGAACTGCTTGAAGCTGGCGGTAGCCTGACTGAGCTGTTGGACCCGTTTGCATCGCTGGACCATCGTGCTGTCGCTAGCAGCACGATGGCCGCAAACCAGGGCCACGAGTCTTGGCTGGAGGGCTTCATAAGAATTGCGCAGCACATACCTCCGTTGCCGTGCAAGTGCCACACGTGCGGAGTGCTCCTGGACCATCTCACCATGGCGCAACACCTGCGCTGGGACCAGTGCAGAGGCGGGCCGGCGGACGGGAACGGCTGGGGTTGCGCCGGGTGCGCCGCCTTTTTTGCGAGCCCCGACCGCCTCGAGGCGCACCAGAGCCTGACTGGCCACTGGGGCCACGCCGCGCCCTGGGAAGTCCTGGACGTCGGGCGTGCGGCCAGCGGGCGACACCCGCGGCTGCGGCCCGCCTCTTCGGAGCACACGCCGGCGGCCAACAGCTTCTTCCGCGAGCAGATGCGCGAGCACCAGCGGTGGCGGGAGCACCTGCGGCAGCTGAGGCGCCAGCGCCGCCCGGGGCGGCCCCGCACGGGCTCGGGCCCGCCGTGACCCCCGGCATGCGGCCGGCATGCGGGCGTGCTGGAGCGCTCCGCTCCGCCCCCGAGGGGCCGTGCCGGCGGCACCGCGCAGTGCCAGTGGGTCGAGTAGGGGATCGGCTACAGAGCTAATCTACCCCAAAACTGTTTTTCCCCCGCCTAGTCTACGAACAAATAAGTAGAGTGCTCCGTGGATGTACGGAGCATTCTGCGTTTCCGTCCGTCTCGCAGATGCGACGGAGAATTCAACTTCGGGGTAAATCAATTCGGCAGTCAGTCCCCTACTCGTGTGGGTGGGGCTGCGGCTGCGGCTGCGGCCTCGGCTGCTGCGGCTGCTGCGGCTGTTGCGGCAGCTGCGGCGGCTGCGGCGGCTGCGGCGGCGGTTGCGGCGGCTGCGCCGCCGCGCACCGCCGCCCGCGGGGAGGTTGGTCCAGTGGTGGCTGGCCTGTGGGGAAAAAGCACCAGGAGAGTCTGGGAGGAGGGCCTCAGGAGGGGTCATCGAGCAGAAAAGATAACCCTTATAACACGATGAAGACGTGGCCTCACTGAGGCCCCCGTCTTCGCAGTAGGGATAATATGTTTGGGTGATTTGGCCTGACACATTTGCAGAAAAAGACACCCTATCCCTAATGTTTTTGGCCCTCCTAGCTTAGGTCCCCTCCCAAAAGGTTAGGGGTCCTTTTTTGGCTAGCCAGGGGGGTTCTGCGAAAGCCGAACCCTTCCCTCGCCGATCCACAATTCAGACAACTCGATGGGCGGCGGGGGTAAGGATAGGAATTCGTCGAGCACGTAGCGAAATCTAAAGCCTACCCCCGCCTCCCACCGATTCAGGAGGATCGATGGTTGGTGTGGGTAGGGTTCGCCTGCCGCTGGTCTGTGGGGAAGAGGCACCAGGAGAGGCGGCGAGAGGGGTGAAGAGAAAGAGTCTAGGCCTCCCAGATGTGGTCCGAGCAAATGGGATCGGAGGATCGCGCCTTATGGCTGATGCAATGCATCAGCGATGCGGCTCGATGCGGAGCCCGATTTTCTTCGCGCCGACGGCGCCGATGCATCAGCGATGCGGCGTGATCCTCCAACCCCATCTACTCGGACCCCATCTGGGAGGCCTTTAGTAGAAGCTGGGAAGGGGGAGGTAAAAAAGGGGATCTGGAGAGGACCATGGAGGGAGAAGTGGCGAGGAAACGGCATGGGAATGGGAAGGGGAGATCATGAGTAAGAATATTTGGGTAGGAAGGGGTGGGGAGGAAGGTTGATCACGAGGAGAACGCGGTCCGAGGCGCAATTCTACGTGTCGTTATGCAGAGTAGCCCCAGGGAGTTGGACACTCGAGGCTGTCGTGACTGTAAAGGCGGTACTACGGGCAGCGACGCTGGCTTCGTCAACGCGCATCGCGGCATGAAATTCTCGAGCGGCGACGCTGCACTAGCCGCAGTATGAGATGCAGAAGCCCAGCAGCCAAGAAGGTCGCGACACGGTGCCCGAAAGCCGACGATGGTTCGACGGACAATTATTCGGCCGCCGAATAAGATCCGCCCTGTCCATCCGTGTCCTCGTCCGTGTCGTCATTATCTTGCTTTCGCGCGTGCGATGTTTTGTAGCTTGATCCGTCGAGTCTGCGAACCAAGTTTTGGTAGCCACGATGGCCAAGGTCGTAACTGATGCAAGAGAGACTTGGGAGAGTGTGAGAAGGCGATGCTCCAAATGGACCACATCGCTCCTCCTCCTCCTCCTCCTCCTCCTCCTCCTCCTCATCCTCCCCGCTCGTCTTCTCTTCCTTCCCACCCTCCGCTCACTCCCCCATGGGGTTCCCACCTGAGCCCACTCGGCGTCTCTAGACACGTTCGGTCGCAGAACGAGTCCTGGGATAGAGCCCCTTCTGCGGCCCAGTGGTCCCAAGTTCTTGTTAGCCACTCTGCCAGAATTTGAGCCCGTTCGGCTTCCCGCTCGGCGGCCAGACGGGCTCGGACGCCGCACGAGTTTCGAAAGAGGTGGCAGACCACACGGGCATGTTCATAAGGTGTGCCTGCCCAGTTGTTGTGTTTGCTCAAGGTTGAGCTCGTGGCGGCACATCGGGCAGTAGGGTTCGCGCAACGTTCATCCACATTCACGGTGTGTGATGAGTGGACGAGTCCTTAAGTGCAGCGCTCAACTTGACGACTGGAGCAATGGCGCCAATCAACATAATGACGCACCAGTGCAAACGGTAGAACATACTGGTGCATCCGTGTAAACGGTAGATTTGTGTTGGTTGCCAGTCGATGTGACGCGTAAGTGCACGACCAGCTGGCTCCCGCGCAGACGACCCCTCCCGAGACCGCCGAGGAGCGCCGAATACCACCGAGGTCCGCTGGAGACCGAAGCGTAACAGTGATTCCATGGACCGAGGAGGAAGCGCACTAGGGGGAGGAGAGGGGAGGAGGAGCAGGCTGGGCTAGGGAGGAGGAGGAGGAGGCGAGGGACAATGAACGGGACGAGGAGCATGAGGAGCGGGAGAAGGGGAACATGGAGATCGAGGCGTATGAGGAATGAGGAGTGACGAGCAGGAGGAGGAGGAGGAGGAGGAGGAGGAGGAGGAGGACCAGCGCAAACCCAGGACGCACCAGCGATGTTGCAAGACACACTCCCTCGAAGTCTCCTCTTCACAGGCCCCTCTCAGCCCCTCTCATAATGCATTTGCATTGAGAGAGTGCCCCATTGGAAGACACACCGTATGATAATTTTCAACCGTGCAAAAACACAAGTTTTGGGACTTCAGCGCTGCGGATCAATATCATTGCTGTGGCTGGGCAATCCTACAGTCACCAAGTCGCACCATCATGTTATTTCTGGAACTTCAACACCGTGAATCAGCGATATCGTTGCGCCCTGACAGTTCTAGAGCGTGCCAGAACGCCGTCCCTGGGATTTCAACCACCCGAATTATTCAAAAAGGTTCGAAGACTTAACAACGAATGTGCGCGGCGCTCAGTCGAGAGTCGCAATTCGAAAAAGGAATCGCTCTCCATCATTGAAGTGTCTGCCAACTGTTAAGACGAGCGTCCGCCGCGCTGAGGCGAGAGTTGCATATCGAACATGAGTCGCGCTCCATCCTTGAAGCTGCTGCAAACGTCAGACCAACGTGCGCGGCGCGACGGCGAGAACCACACATTGAGAACGGCTCGCCTTCCATCCGTGAAGCTTGTCGGGCTCTTCTAGGCGAGAGCCACAGTTTGAAGACGATCGGCCCGCCCTCCGTGGAACTGTTGCAGAGCGCAAGCTTCAGGACCATACATGGTCAAGAGGTCTCAGGCGAAACGCCCGGCCCGCCCTACTGGTACGTATGGGGGTGCGACAGGGAGGAGTTGAAAAGGGATGGAGGAGGAGGAGGAGGAGGAGGAGGAGGAGGAGGAGGAGGAACAGCACGATGGCCCCGTGCATG